CTGGCACCAGAAGCCCCGCAGTAAAACCGAGGGGTCTCTGCCCTGGGCGGTCTCTGCCCCGAGCGCCAGCGGAGGTGGGGGGAAAAGAGCAGAGCGCGGGTAGGGGACTCTGCCCGTTTTCGCATCGGCAGCCCCTCGCAAGGATAGTCTGGTCAGAAAGCGGCGCGGCGATGCGAGTGAATAAGTGGCCCGGACTCTGCACCATGACATCATGGCCTTGCACCATGACGTCATGCCCATGCAGGCTGGTGGCGTCAGTCAGAGCACGGAGCATAGAATATTGTTACGGGCTGGAGCCATGGCTCTTAGAGCGCCGGGATGTCTCCACAAGGTAATCCTCGCCCACCGATGGAATTTTTTACGGGGACTTTCATAATTTAAAAGCTCGGTTCTATGCAGGTTTTTCTCCCCCAGACAACAGGTCCCGGGAAGACCAGGCTTACTCCCAAGGAAACAGTTTAACAATTTTAGAAAAAGAATTGAGAGGCATTTAAAAATGTGTGGTAAGCCAAAAGAACCTTGTTCAGTTTCAGCTGCAAATCAGAAGGTTACAGAAGTTTTCCCTGAGCCGGTGAGGAGAATATATTCCAGTGAATCAACCCATTGTCTTGCCTAAAAGATGTTCTACTGATCTTAAATATACCTACAAAAATAGCAGAGGCCAATGGACACAATTGTTTTGCTTTGTTTATAAAGATTATCTGATATTTTCACTTGAAGCATGAGACCCTGTCCGGACTCCACCTATCAACATTCACCAGGGCTGTGGGCAGATTCTTTTCAGAACAGCCTTTTATCCTGACCTTTGGGGAAGGAGAGAGAGATAATACACCATTTCCCTTCATTTATCTTTAAGTAGCGATTAAGCATTTATAAAATATGAGCTTGAAAATAACTTATTTTAAAAAGAATAAAAAAATGGTTATGTATTGTTTACCATAACTAAAAATCCAAATTTGGGCAATTTTTGTGTTAAGCCAATTCAGAAGATGCAAAATTTTATTTTTGTTCACTTCTGATCTGAAATAATGTACACACAAAGCTCTATGGCTAAATGATGATGCAGTAGAAATGTCTATTAATTATAAAGGAATCCCAAGCTTTTAATACATTTCTTTAAAATCTTACTTTGAATCATAGCATGTAAGAGCAGGAAGGAGTCTTGGACATCATCTACGTTCCAGGAGTTCCAGAAGTCTCTTAAGACCTGGCCCTGGTCCCAGGCCTGGGGTTAGAGTGTTTGTGGAGCCCCTATGGAGTCTTTTTGAATGCTACAGGTAGTCCTCAAGTTACAACCACAATTAGGACTGGAATGTCTGTCACTAAGTGATGTGGTCATTGAGTTGTGCCTGATTTTTGCCATGGTTGTTAAGCGAATCATCATGGTCGTTATGCGAATCATGTGGTCATTAAGCGAATCATGTGGTCATTAAATGCATCCAGCTTCCCCCATTGACTTTGTTTCTTGGAAGACCCCTGGGAAGGTTGCAAATGATGATCATGCAACCCTGGGACACTGCAACTATCATAAATACATCCTGGTTGCAAAGTGCTTGAATTTTGATCATGTCACTGTGGGGACACTGTGACGGTCATAAGTGTGTGGACTGGTCATAAGTCACTTTTTTCCAGCAGCGTCATAACTTTGAATGTTGTTAAACTTATGGTCATAAGTCAAGGACTACCTGTATTGTTATTTTGTCCAGGTGATTATGTTTTTAATTATGTTTTTGAATTGTGTATTTGAAATATTGTAGGCCACCCAGAGTTTTTACAGAGTTGGACAGCCTTAAAAATCCAAATCAATCAGCCAATCAGTCAATCTAATTACCCCCATGCCCACTGTAGGAATCCATTAATATGGCATCCCTGACTGATAACCACCTGAGTCTTAATTTAAATGCCTCCAATGAAGGAGAATCCAGTATCTGATCTTGAACTTGAGAAATGAATAGTCCCATCTAGAAAAAAAAATTTAAGCTCTTTATCATGTCCAGACAAAATGGTTTATTTTAGACCATTTAGTTTAGATGAAAGTGTGTAAACTAGAACTACAAGAGATGCCCCTTAATAAGCAAAAAACAAGTACCTGTATAAATCTATCCTTCTTTGTTCATATGATTAATATTCTCAACTCTTCTACTATTCATTTTTTCTTGTCTTTTAATTTTTTTTATTTTATTATATCAAACAAATTAACAGAAGGAAAAATTATATATACAACATGATTATTAATATACTATGATCTGAAAATTAATAATCATAAATAAATGGAGGAAGGAAGCCAGTCAGCCAGCCTGGGAAATTATGTTATAAACAGAATACCACCACCACCACCCAAATTTAACCATATTGCTCAAATGTCTACCCCCTTGCCCCTTCAATGGGAATTTTTTTTACTGAATTGTGAAAAAAACCTCATGTGCAGTGTCTTGGAGACAAGAAATTAAAATATTCATCACCCAATGGAGTGATGAAAATGGGGTTTCAGCAAGAAGACTTGCATGAGCATAAAACACTGTCTGGTTATCCTTTTATTGGGAAGGAAAATTTTGTTTTTCCTTTGGTTAGAATATCCACACACACACACATACACAGAGAGAGAGCAAGAGAAATATTTTGTTTAGTTTCATTGAAGCAAACTGAGTCAAATGTCTCTTCAGATGTCCATTCTAGAATTTGGGGCTCCATAAATTCCATCAGATAATTGACTACTCTTCTGCCACCTGAACAGAATAGAAATTCTTCAAGGAAAAATTAAGACCGTGTCTCCAGTTCCATTTTACCATGGCAGAGTCATGTCCTACAATGCCTATTTTTGTCCTTGGCCCATAGAACATTATCCTCATCTCCTCTTCCTAATCAGCTTTAACGTGATTCTGAAATGTATCTTGCTTTTATTCATTGCAGTGTCTGGAGAATAATGCCTATATATTTGGTGGTATATGATTTCTTTATTTAACTGAATCTTTTTATGATATTTTAGTAGGGGATGGGGTTACATGTTTAATTGGCTTCACTGATTTGATGATTGTAAAATGGTTGGCTTTATTAGCTGCAATGTTTGATTTTAGAATTTCATTGTGTGAAGATTTGTACTGAGGGCTGCCTTCAATATTCTGATGTTTTACTTGGTTGGAATTGGTTGTTTGCTCTATGCCTTGTTGAAAAGTGTGCTGTGATGAGGAAGTGGGTTTTGGCTGCTTATTTGCCAGTTTGCTTGTTGATTTCAGACGTTTCCCAGCCCAGTAAATTCCCTGGCACCTGGTCTGTTTCTCTTATCCAACTAAACAGAACCTAGCCAGATTACAGTCACGGGCAGCTGTACCTCCCTCCTCCCTGCAACTACTTCCGCTTTGGTGTCTTCTCTTTCACTTATTTCACATTATTTTAACTTAGCCGCTGTTCACATGGGGTGCAGGTGGGTAGGTCAACCAGCCTAAAGTCCTGAAGTGAGGCCCCCCCTCCTGCTACAGTGCCCTGATTGATGGATGTTTCCGTGCTGGCAAGAGACAAGTGGAAAGGGCATGACAGCAAAGCCAGAGAAGGAATCAATTCATCTTGCCTACAACAACTAGCACACTCAGAAAGCAGGACAACCATATGCAGCAGTGACTAGGAACACATGTACTAGAGACCATGTGGAAGGAACACACACCACGGGGAAAACCCCTGTGCTCCTCCCTCCACTCCGAGCCCTCTCAAAAGGGCCTCCATTACTTCAAAGAAGGTGGCAGCAACATGGGAGAAGAGCAGGAAGAAGAGTTGGAAAAGGGCATCAGAGGGAAGAGAGAAGAAAGAGGTCCCCAGAGGATGCTAGGAACACTGAAAGGCAGAGGAGAGGGTCTGCAGAAGCAGAAGAACAGTGGCTTTGGCAAGGATTGTCAATGACAACAGTAAGCTTCAGAAGTTACTAACCTAATCAGCTGAGTGAAGACTAGAGCACTCATAGTAGAAAAAAAAAACCCAGTGCGCTGGATCCCTAGTCCAGGAGAATTGCAAAGTGTTGACAACACTACAAAGCTCATGATGTTGGCAAATGCACAAAGAATAATAAATAACAATACAGTGGAGACCTGAGTATTAAGTATTCTGCTTAAGACAGAAATCTTTATTGTACAACAAATATTTCGATGAAATTTGCAGTTGTTCAGTAATTTTATATTCAGCTTTGGATGTAAAATCTAAACAATCTTATGTTTATTAACATTGACATTTCTAATCATGGTTAATACTGATATAATACCTTTTTTCTATCTTTAAAGGTCTAAGTTAAACATTAGTTTTAATAATCTCTAGTCCATACTGTATAGATACTACTATATCAAAATAATATAATGTATTATGTATGTCTTATAATAATATGATAAATTTTAAAAAATGACAGAACTCTTCTATGTTGATACAGCCATTTAAAAGCTAGACTGGGCTCAGAAAACAGCATTTTATGAAGATAGTCAACAAACAACTCTTGCAGAACAATGGGGGATAACATGTACTTTTGCAAGAAACAAATGTTTGAAAGTTACAATATGTACATAGATTGAAAATTCAAATTCTTTTCATTGCATAACTAGTTTATAATTTTATCCAAGTTATTCACTTACACTAGGGATAACAGTTTTGTTTTTATAGTTTTTAAAGTACACAACATAATTACATTTTAAATGCAATAATTTAACCAATGCAGTGCCAGAAATAAAATTATCCCTTATCCTTGGAGAAGGACAGAGGTTCTTGTTTTGATATTTCTTTATTTTTCCTTCTTTATTTAACCATTTCTGTACC